ACCCAGTATCGGATCGGCGCATCTCTAATTTGGACATCATAAAATATGCATTTAGAGAACTGCTGGAACTCCCAAACCTACCAGGACTAGCGTCTTAAGGGGACACCAGTGCAGAACCCAGGGGGTCTGGTTCCCAAACCTTATTTAGAGCATTCCAACCAAAAAGTAAAGAGCCAGCTGGAACTGGAACAGGAGGAGCACATTTTGGAACATTTATTGTGATCTATTTGATTGAGTTGGAACCCAGTACTTAGATCTAAAAGGTTGCTTCTCGATTACTGCATTATTTGGGAAATCTGCCATATTTCAGAAACATTCCAGTGGCCACCATCGTGCAATAAATCCTGGGATAGTTTGGGTCAAGAAGGATCCAACTGTTTACCACATGAGAAAAGAATCCTGCATTTCCCGGCTGCATGTGAGCCTTGGAAATGGGACAGCCTTCCAAGGACGCGGCCTCTGAATTGGGACACAGCGGATCTGTTCGGTGGCACGAGGCCAGTTCAGGAACGAGAACTTCACTGGTGGAAAAGCAACATTAGCGTTTCACTTAGTCCCGCCCTGAGAACGCTGTCCTGGAAGCACATGATCAGAAAGAAGCTCAGCTCAAAACATATTCTCCTGGCACCGCTGAGGTCTAAACTAAACTAATGACATGTGATTTTTATGCCAGTTTAGTCAGACTGTGTGTGAAAATGCAAAGCTAGAGCTGTGTGTCTTAATCTAAAAGCATTTCTCTGGACAGCACCTGAAACACTTTATGTGCTTTATTTTATGTAAAATGTGTGGCAACGTATTCACATATTGGTATCTCTTCAAATTCTATTTTATCATCCAAGGTATCTCATCTGCTGGTCATGTTTTATATGCTGCTATTTATATAACAGTGCTGTTGCATGAATTGGCCACAAGAGAGCTCTGTGGTTGTCCTGTTTACCTTCAGCAGATCAGGGGGAGACCTGCAGTAAAGAAGGCTAGGCGTGTTTGAAATGATAGAGGAACCTCCCCAAAGGTTAAATAAGGTTGCACTCGCACCTTAAAAACACCTCCAAGACTGCAGCCCGGCAGTTTGAACTGTCAGAGGATTCTCCTTGTGTGATGCAAGAAAGAAGGTTCGTGGATTTGTCTGAAATTTCCAACCTTCTGTCACACAAACTATGTACTTAATGCATTCTGACAACCTGAGCCGTCAGTTTCAGAAAGTATTTCCTATGCATTTGATTAAAAAAGGAATCTCACTTGCTTATCAGGAATCCTTCTGAAAGCAAAGTGGCTGAGTCTGAAAAAGAAGAGAGAAGATAAAAGTATTTTAAAAAGTTCAACAAAATCATCTTTACTAAAGGGATTCACTGGGGTGCAGGAATTCATTCTAGGAGTCTAATTGAAATGTTCATCTTCAAATGTTTTTTGGCTTTAGCTGATAAGGAAAAGCACAACATAATTCTTTTGTCACAGCTAACATTTTTGATTATTGATAGATTTGTAGGTAGTATTGTTAAAGGTGGAGAGGTGGCGGTGTGGCTGCAACGTTTGCATTCTGACACATGGCACAACCCTAAAGGTGAACCGTCGAACTATCCATCCATCATCTCCACACCTTCATCCTCACCAGGGTGGTGGGGGGCGGAGCCTATCCCAGCTGACTCAGGGTGAAGACATTTGCATTTTCTGTCAGTGTTGGTCAGGTTTCAAACTTACTTTGTCAATACTGCAGTATGACAACAGAAGACCTTTCAGTAAAAATCACAACTTAATAAATGCCTTAGAGCACATCATATAATCTTTTTAGAGGGCTTCATATGGCGATCGTCATGTGTTTAATGCATCTGTCTATTACTGACTTTGTGTGTTCTCTCTCTCATAATGATCACTTCTTTCTCTCTGTCCTGCTCCTCCTTGAATCTTTCTGCAGGTGTTTCTGGCTCTGGAGCTGTACAGGTCTGATCTGCTGACTGGTCCCTTGTTTGTCGTCTGGTTAGCTTTACTTTCTTGTTCTCTCCCCTTTGCCGTCACCCCGGCTGCAGACCCTGAGCCTGGTTCTGCTGGAGGCCTCATCCTGTTGCTTTTAATGTGCTGATCAAATAGTGGTGGCTTGACTTGACTTTAGCCTGAACCAATCATCACTCTGGTGGGAATCCTAACTGAGTTTGTGCAATGATATCAGGAATTCCATTGTTGGTCTGCTGACTGTGGCCTGAGCACCTATTAATAGCATTCAGAGGGGAACAGGAGGCAGATGACCAGTGAGGGATTTGTTCTTTCTCTAGTTTAGGAAGCAAAATAAATACAACCTGTTTCACAGAACAACGTCCATCTCTCTCCGTGAATTATGCGCTGAATATGAAGGATTAATGACCATAAATTGGACCCTGACGACCCACGAGAACACGAACTGGAAGCATCTTGTCGCGATACTTCCTCTCTGGACGGCGTCTCCTCTTTCGGGAGTAACATTAATAATGAACCTTCACCAAAAACGAGTTTAGAAGGATCTGATTAAACATGCTGGACGATGAATGGTGTCTATGTTAAACAGAAACAATAAAATGCACCATTTATCAAACACGTAGCGGCTCATTATAAACTGTGAGTTGGGAGTTTGTCACACTGCGCATGTCCGAAACAAACGGAACGATAACATTTAGGATTTGAAGGTACAGCTCCAACCTTGGTACAGAGAAAAATAATTACATCGCATTATATAGAAACTCGAATTGTCTTTAGTGTAACCCGAAGACGGAACCAGCCAGGGTCCACCTCCCTGCTCCGGTTGGTCTGCGCAGCTCGGGGGGTGTTGACGGAACCCCTGCCAGCCGAGTTAGTGGAAGTCACGCAAAGCTCGGCCGAACATCCTGTCGTCAACTTTCCCGAAGCGCTCCAGGCTTTACGGTAAACATGGCCAGAAAACGTCCAGTTTAACAGACCGATGCACCGTTTGCCTTAAAGCTGATGTCGGGTCGGGTGGCTGTTAAAAGCAGCAGCTCCGAGTTTGACAGATGTCCACTACTGTAGCTCCGTTAGCTTAATGCTGCGCTAGCTAATGCTAAAGTTAATTAGCTGCTTTTGGGGCTGCGGTTCCTGCCTTCCTGTTGTCGAGAGCTTTACTCTGGGTTTTACTGGACAGCTGCAGTCGGATGGGTGGCATGAGCTAGCTTGACTTAATGCTAAATATTACAGTAATACTGAGCTGTGCAGGGTGACAGCATGCTAGTTTATTAATCTCATAATTAATGCTGAGTTGTGAGGTTGCCAACATAAACCAGAGATGCATTCAGGCCACTGTTACTATCAGATCGATTTTTCTCAGTCTGGGTGCGGCTTTTGAAGTTTTTCCATAACAGGAAACAGTTTAAGGGGAGCTAATGGGTGTGTCACTAATTAAGTCCTGCATATAGAGAAGCTGAGGACATGCCGTTACTTGACAAACAGCCTGAAGAGATAAGCGCTGCATAAACACGTTAAAACCGATGTGTAAGGGTTGACTGTCTTTATTCTCTGTATGTCATCTTGTAGTTCGCTCAGTCATTTATTCAACCGTTTTTTACAAAGTAAGAAAATAAGATGTAGACACGCAAATACGACATTCTGATAATTGGAATAAAAATTTAAGAGGCAAAATGTGTAAAATAATAAAAGCATTAATTACAGCATTTGATTAAAAAACAACAACAAATGAATCAACCTTAACAATAGCAGCTGAAAGTACAGTAAGCTCAGATCTATAGCCTGAAAGGTTAAATGAGTTGAGCTGTGAGTTACACCAGGTTCATGTGCACAGTGAGCAAAAGTTGGTTTTCTGAGCTCAGTAAAAACAGCAGCTGTAGTGTAATCCAGTTATCTGAGCTTGTATGGTAAGGACTGACATTAAAAGACAGTCGTAAGGTAATTTAGGGAGGTTATGACTAAGGTAAGGGCCTTATGAATAAATAAGACTGTGTGTCTGTCAGACCTTGCAGAGACGGAGAACCAGCCAACCTCAGCACACAGCTCACAGTGGTCAGTGTTATAACCAGTACTTCATCCTAGTGCAAAAGGATAACTAGTGTCCAAGGAGTCCCAGCTAATACATGCATGTGTAAAATGTCACCATAGTCAGCACCTCAAGACGAACTTCAGCATTCAGATAACCAATTAGTTGTATTAAATTAGTCAACAGCTATTTGGATAATTCACTAATTGGTTTGAGTTTTTTTGTTCTGATTCTTCCTAAATGTACATATTTTCTGGTTTCTTTCGCTCTCCGTGACGGTAAGCTCTTTGGCTTGTGAACAAAACAACACATTTGAGAACGCTATCGTGGCCTTGCCATCATGGAAACAGTGATTTCACCATTTTCTAACAATTTATAGACTCAACAACTAATCCGTTCATAGAAAACAGACTATTTGAATAATAATAATTTAAAAAAAAAAACTATGATTAGTTCCAGCCATAATCTTCAATCAAGAAGGTGTTTGTGGTGTAAATCTTTCTCACTTTGTTTTTTGCATTCACAGTTGACAGAAGATGTTTAACGTCAGAAAGCTTGTCAGTGGCCTCATTGATGTTGTCAGGTGAGCATCTCCACAAAGTGCCCCTATAAGCCAAAAAAAGACACGTGGTTCTGTAGTTTAACCTCCTTTTCATCTCCAATGTTGTCTTTGTAGCAACATCGACCCGGCCCAGTTCGTCCCTACTGAACCTGTAAGTGTCAGCTGTATCTGCCCGTCACTGTTCTGCTGACTCTGAGTGATCCGTGTGGTGAGTGTTTTCCTCTTTCCCGCAGCCTCCACCACGCAGACCGCTCGCATACGCAGAGCAGCATGAGAGCGACGAGGAGAAACAGTTCCGCCGAGTCTTCCAGCAGCTTGCTGGAGATGTGAGTGAGATGATCTGAAGCCCTCCATACATTTGTGTTGTTGTTTTTGTCCACTTTGATGAATGTGACCACATCTAAGTATGAAGGTTGCTGTAAGTGGTGGAAGAGAGTTCCTCCATCGTCCATTTTACCACAAAACACAACTGTGTGTCTGTACAGATTTCTTCAGCCTTGTTAATGTTGAATGTGTCGTATAGGACATGGAGGTGAGCCCAAGTGAGCTGATGAACATCATGAACAGAATCATCTCCAAACGTAAGACATGTCTGCATTTAACACATTCAGAGTTCCCGTCTCACACATCCCACATGTGCGTTTATTGCTGCTCTTTGCAGTCTTGCTTACTTTGCATTTATTCTTTCACACTATTCACAGATTTTATCACACACAAATGTCTTGTGTTTCAGATGGAGACCTGAAGACAGATGGTTTCAGCATTGAGTCCTGTAGGAGCATGGTGGCAGTCATGGATGTATCCTTTCTGTCATCAGTGAGCTTTATGCGTCGTGTGATCCAGAAAACATAGATGGTACAGCTAGCAAATAGAAAAGGCTGTTGGCACAACCAGACTGCATCACACCCGTTAGACAGAGATTCAAACGTTGAAGCTAATTATTCGATAGTGAGGAGTCTTTGAAATGTGTGAAGGTTGAGCACTGAGCAGACAGAACATCTCTGTGGCTGCTCTGAAGCAGCCTGGTTACAGAAAAGTGAACAAATGTTCTGAAGAGATCTGAGACTATTGAAGTGCAAACAGAAGCTTTACATCCCTGTAATGTAAGCTGGAATTAGAATCTTTGTTTTGATTAAAAATCAATATCGATAGCATATTTAAACACCATAAGGCCAAAGCCTAATTCACTTTAATTCAGTTTTATTTATACATTCACAACATACGTCATCTCATAGCACTTCACATCGTAGTTTAAACAAAGAACAGAGAACCCAACCAGCCAAAGGGGCCTTCAGAGTCCCTGTGAGCAGGCAGTCAGCTGTGGTGGGAAGGAGCCAAAAACACACTCTAAGGGGAGGAACAAATAAACCTCAGACAGAACCGGGCTCAGGGAAGGTGGCCAGTTGGGGTGAGAGTGGAGATGAGGGGGTTATGTGATTCTGTCGTTTGTAGTGTCATTTCCTACTTTGAATTGTGCGTCACGTGACTAATGACGGCATGTAGACATACAACAAATCCAGTGTGTCCACCAGTAATACAACTGTTTGGATAAGCTGGAGTCAAAGAGGAGGACTGGTTGTCTGTTGACCTTAACGTGGTTTCAGAGTGACAGCACTGGAAAACTGGGCTTCCATGAATTTAAGCACCTCTGGAACAATATAAAGAAATGGCAGGCAAGTACAGCAGTCCCATTTCAGCTGTCCTCCACATCTGTTTCTGTGCTGCAGTTACGTTCCTGTGGCCAGAGTTAATTATTTGCAGCAACAGTGAACACAGAGAAAAACGAAGCTGGAAGTCGATCCAGCATCTGCTGTTTATCAGGCCGTTAAGTGTCCAGTGTGCCAACATCTCCCTTATTGTGCTTAAGTGTTCTTACATAGACTCTAATGTGATCTGTTTACTGATAGACACATTATTAAACCAGGCACGCTGTGGTACACATTTAATTATCTGACTAATAAATCTAAGCAACAACTAGTTAAATTAAACATACTTCTACAAGAAAAACTCTCCTTGACTTATAAAAATACCTTTGGTTAAATTACTGTGTAGTTTAAATATAAGTACCATTAATTATGATTGTTTTAAGGAATTTCTGGTGTAGATTGAGGTAGTTTGCTACCAGCACACTGGCAACTGTTTGGTTTGTGGGAACAACTGTTTTTTGTTTTTAGCTTGTGTATCATCTTACCAGAAACCTTTCAGATGGCATCCATGCATTAAATATTTCCACTGTTGCTGTTCAGGGAGTGTACAAGAGCCACGCTACAGAGGGCGAAGGTGTCATCGGGGCAGATCAGCTGCCTAACGCCTTCAGAGCTGCTGGTGAGGATTTGTTTTAAATATCTAACATTATTGTTTTAAATGTTTGCACAGATATTAAAACATGCAGGCAAAGACATCACCTGTTCCACAAGTAGAGCGATATCTAGAAATGCAGTGAAGGCTGTTCATGGTCTTCATGCAGAACTTGTTGGAAATCATAAACAGTATCGTGGGGTGAAGTTTGACGTAGCTTCTGCGGGCGTTGCTCTGTCATGGTGTTGTAGCCGGTGGACACTGGTGATCAGGACAGTTGTCTGAGTGTATTTGCAGCTGAGGCCTCGGCCTGCAGAATGCCCACACACCTTTGTGTAAACGTTGTTCAGTAGTAACAGAGATGTCCAGACTAATAGAAGTTCTGATCTGTCCGTCCTTCCTCCAGGCTTCCCTCTCAATGAGGAGCTGTTTAATATGATCATCCGTAGATACAGTGATGAACAGGGGAACATGGATTTTGACAACTACATCGGCTGCCTTGTCAGGCTGGATGCTATGTGCCGTAAGTTTTAAAGCTCAGTCGTAAAATTACCATTTTAAAAAGCCCTGTTTTGACAGTGTGGTGGGTGTAATGTCTGTTCTGATTCAGGTGCCTTCAAAACCCTGGATAAGGATAACAATGGGACCATCAAAGTCAACGTTCAGGAGGTAGAGTAATCTGTTCTTGTGTCTATAAATGTGAATTTGAGTCAAAACATACTGATAAAGCATTTGATTGTGTTGCTAGTTGCAGTTCATTGTTACTGTAAAGTCATTTCTGTGTCTTTTCAGTGGCTCCAGCTGACCATGTACTCCTGAGTCCCGGTGACGTCTCTTCTGCTCGTTTGACGGAACCACCTTCTTTATCTACTCAAAACAAAATACTTTATCCATCCTCCCTAAATCTTCCAGCGCCTCTCAGCGGGTGCCGTCTGTGTGCAGGTTTGTGTGGAATGCCAATGCAATGCAATGTGGTGGAATCCTCCAGTGTTCTATGTTACTTGCCAAACAGAACTCGTATAGTATTACCAACTCAGAAAAGCACAAACCTGCACACAGAGTGGGACCCGTAGCTGAGGATCAAACATAAATGCTACTGAATGCTCTGGACTGGTATGCAGCCTGAATGATGTAGTGCAGGGGTGGGCAATCCTGGTCCTGGAGGGCCACAGTCCTGCATGTTTTAGATGTTCCCCTCTTCCAGCAGACCTGATTCAAAAGATCAGCTCATCATCAAGCTCTGCAGAAGCCTGATAACCATCCTGATCATTTGAATCAGGTGTGTTGGAAGACAGAAACATCTAAAACATGCAGGACTGTGGCTCTCGAGGACCAGGATCGGACACCCCTGATCCACTTCATGCCCTAAAGTCAAAACAGTAAGAGAAGAGGCAGACCAGCAATAAGATGGTTAACACTGTGGTATATGTGAAAACCCTAATGTGAAAGCAGGACTGCTCTGTGGCTGGGGCTGGTCTCACCAAGACTACATGCAGGAGGGTTGGGCGGAGAGAGGCCAGACTTAGTTTTGCATTTCTGCTTTCATTCTAAAAATGTCAACAAAAAGAACAAACTCGCCACCTTAAGCCCAGTTCTCCTTCAGAACATCCACACCTTTCCACAGCTCTGTCACCTTATAGCAAACACAGGCAAACCCACTTCAGTCGTCACTGTAAAAAATGAACCTCCAAGAGGCTCGGGTTTCCTGAAATAACAGCCCCTTTATGCATGGCCACATAACTGGTCCTCACAAGTAACTAACCAGGTAGGTGGACCCGGTCATTGCAGAGACTTGTAGTGTGTTTAGAATGAGTCAGCTTTGCAAACCTCTACTTGCTTCCACTCCTCGGTGTGTGGTGTCTTTTTGAAACCAGCCCTGGCTCCACTGACTGGAGAACTAAAACAAGAGTGTGGGAGAGTTCAGGAACTTTGGTTACTGATTAAAGAGAAATTATGCAGATATCTGATTTATGGTACACCCAGAGCACAGCAGAGCATAGTTTAATTATTTGTACACACTTCTGCAACAGAGATGCACTGTTATTGTAAATGCAAAGCTGTCAGGAATGTTCACAACAAGGCTAGAAATGCATATGTAAATCTACAGCTGTCTTCATAGTGGCCTGATTATATAGTAGTTTGTCGATATATTCTGCTGCATTCTCTGTCACTTTACTGATCACTGTGTACTTATTCAAAATGCCTGCTCCAGATATTGTCAGCACAATGTGTGAACTGATGCCATATACAAGCCGTGTGTGTCACTAATGCATGCAGCCAGTCGTGAAGATGCCATTATTAAAGGTTTTTAACCATGTAGTTATAGCCACAGTCATTAAACTGTTACTGAAAATGCTTGGTAACATCAGTACCTGTGCCATATTTGGAATAAAAGGCTATATACTATATCAGACACCTCAGTTGTGTTCTTGATGGAGTTACTTTGAGTCATGAGACAGTGACCAATCAGTTGTCACTCAGGCTGAACTGAGATCTGCCTCTTGACCAATCAGGGTGGATTTTTGTCTTTTCAATTCAGTTTTATTTATATAGCGCCCATTCGCACCGTAAATGATGAAGTTGCCTTTAGGTTTCCTGTGAGCAAGCAGTCGGCAAGGGTTGTTCTGCGAAGCTTCTGCAGGTGGGAGTCGGCTTGTCAGACAGTATTTTGGTGAATCTATGAATGTCATGTCCCCAACACCTTCTCCACTCATGTAGCTCCACATCGTCACCTTCCCACCTCTGACCCGGTTCTCACCAAACATGCTGGACTAAATCCAAGCCAAACAAAATGATCTTGGTCCCATCTGACCAAAGAATGTTCTCCCAATATGTGTCAGGCTTCTTTTCATGTTTTTCATCTTGTGGTTTCATGCTGAAACTGAAG